GAAGTATTTTTTCCAGTAGGTAGTATGCTCTTCGTCAATTCTGCCTTGTGAAAATGAGTAGTAAGTCATGTAGCTGGTTCCAGATCATCTTTCTTCCCAGTGTATAAAGCTAAGCAGAAAAATTGAGGACCATTACTCTTGATGCTGTTAGCACCCTTTCCCTCCTAATGTTAAGAGCTTTGGACGCACAGAGGGAAAATCATTTGATGTCTGTTGTTGTTAGGTGCTGTCAAGGTGATTATGATCATGGTAACCCCATGTGTTACAGAGTAGGACTGCTGCATGGGGTTTTCGTGACTATATTCTTGATGGAAGCAGATCACCAGGCCTATCTTCCCTGGTACTGCTGGGTGGGTTCAAACAGCCAACCTCTAGGTTAGCAGCCCAGTGGCAAGAACTGTTGTGCCACCTAATAAAAAGGACCCTTTATTGTTATTATTATTTAATTTACAGAAAAATAAAGCATCCCATTTATTCTAAAAGTTGGGAAGTGGGAACATACAACTGTTTAGTATAACCAATGACCTTTACAGGAGAATTATCCTCTGGCTTGTACCCTTAGAGAGCAGAACGGCATTCATTGCTTTTGGGCCAGATGAAACCCAGGCAAGAACTAAACCAGATCTTCAGGATGAGACTTCCTAGCCTTAGCTCTAAGTCAGCATTTCTCAACCTTCAGCACTATTCACGTTTTGGGCTGATCACTCTTTGTTCTTTTGCACTGTCTGGTTCTTTGTAGGAAGTTTAGCAGCACCCCAGCTTCTACCCAGTAGATGCCAGTAGCACCCTCCCCCTGCCTCCGTTGTGACAATTAAAAATGTCTCTAGACATTGCAAAGTGGGAAATAAATTTGCTTCAGCACACACTTTCAGAATCACTGCTCTCAATATACTAGGTAGTTTGTTGTTGACAAAGAATATTTTTCAGATTTTAGTTTACTTTTAAATATTTTGTCCCATTTTAATTACTTGGGTAGAATATGCTTTACTTTTAAGAACTGTGAAATAGTCTGGAAACCCATTAACTAATTTGGGGATGAAAGTGA